ATGTAGCCATTATGCCATCTGCTGGTCCCCAAATTCTTATCTCATTGATAAACTTTTAGGGCCAGCAGGTAGTGTGGTGGTTTAAGGTATTTTAGAAGCAAACTATGTCTATAAAAAGGTAAGGGGGCCCAGCAAATGGCATAATGGTTACATTGCTGGACTCCCACATAGTCAACCGCAGTTCAAGTCCTTGACCCGACAGCTTAAAATGTGTATGTGTGTATGTGTGTGTGTGTGCACCCCAAATCCCAAGAGGTGAATGGAGGAGAAGGAATTGCAGTATGGCCATCCCCCCCGGGGGGTGATTTCTCACTTTCTGTCTCTGTCTCACCAGAGAGCACATGCACCCTATAGCAAAAATCTCTCTAAAAATAAAAATAAATAAATAAATAAAAAGGTAAGGAACATTATTTTTTTCTTTTCCCTTTTTACTTTTAGGATTTAGGGTATGTGCACTCACTGGAGAGAGACAGAGGGAGAGAGAGAGAGAAGGAAAATGGGAAATCACCTCCCAAGGAGGATGGCCACACCACAATCCCTTCTCCTCCATTCTCCTCCTGGGGTTTTGAGTACACATGCACACACCCACACCAGGTGGGATTTTCAAGTCTCTGGGTCTGGGACTTCAAATGTGGTCAGCCATGGGGGTGTTTAATGCCTTAAAATACCTTAAACCACCACACTACCTGCTGGCCAAGCAGTGGTTTGACTCCTAGCTCTGGTGCTTGAAAATCACACTGGGTATCCCAAAGCCGGAAATGGTGGCGAAATGGAGAAGGAATTGTAGCGTGACCATGCCCCATGAGGGATGCTTTCTCTCTCTTCCTGACTCTGTCTCTCTCTAGCAAGTGCATGTGCTCTCTGGCAACATTTTAAAATAAATTTATTTCAAGTGCATTTTAAAGAATTTCCTAGCAGTCCTTGTAATAAACCAGGCTGAGAGTCCCAGCGGCATAGACGAGGCTCTGACGATCGTCATGTCTGTGTTTTCTTTCAGTCTCCTCTTGGATGTTTGAGGCTGTGTAGATGTGACCAGCGTTCTGAGACCGGAGCAGGGGTGCAGACCAAGCGCTGAGAGAAGGGAACCTCGGGCCTTCCTCCTGGTGAGTAATTGCTAGTTTCTGGTCGTGAGAGGGCTTCCTCTCAGGAGGCTGAGCTTTCAGACGCTCCGGCCATTGGCAGGAACTCCCCCTCTCCTGCTGAGTCGAGAGCTACCATAGAATCCGGACTCAGAGGCCTCAGTCCGTCCCAGCAAGGGCAGAAGCCCGTCTACAGCGCGCTCCAGTTACTCTGAGCCCAGGAGAGAGAGCTCACAGCTGACAGCAGTAGTAAGCAGTGCTGCTGTCAGAAAGTTCTCCCTCATGCTCACAGCTAAAATCCGCCTGTCTGCAACAGCCTTCTGGTTTCCAAGTTCCAGTCCCCGAGGTGCCTCATCCCTCTTCCACGTGTCAGCCCAGCAGATGTTGGGGACCGTATGCTAGATGGTGAAGTGTGGCGTCTGGGCACACAGTCCTGGCAGATCTGACTCCACTCCACTGTTATCTGGGTGACCTTGGGCATGCTGGTTAATCTCTATGTGATTGGCTTTCTTTTTCTTTCTTCCTTCCTTGCTTTCTTTCTTTCTTCTTTTTTTTCTCTTTCTTTCTTTCTTTTTCTTTCTTTCTTTCTTTCTTTCTTTCTTTCTTTCTTTCTTTCTTTCTTTCTTTATCTTTCAAGGTTTTTGCTCTAGGGTGCATGCATTCGCCAGAAAGACAAAGAGAGACAGAGAGATAGAGAGCGAGAAATCACACACACACACACACACACACACACACACACACCCGGGGGATGGCCACACCACAATCCCTTCTCCTCCATTCTCCTCTCAGGATCTTATGCACGCATGCACACGCTCCTGGTGTGAGTTTAAGCCACCGGGTCCAGGACTTGAGCCGCAGTTGACTCCATGGGAGTCCAGCGACATAGCCATTACACCATCTGCTGATCCTGTGACTGACTTTCTTAACACTGGGACCAAAGCCAGCCTGTGGTGTGGTGGTTAAGGAGGCTGGCTCCCACATGGCCCACCGTGTGGTTGGAGTCCTGGATCCAGTGGCTTGAGAAACATGCTGAGCATGTATGCAGGGGAGCCCACAATCTCGAAAGGAGAAACGGAGGAGAAGAGATTGCAGCATGACTATGCCCTATGGAGGGTCCTTTCTCACCTTATCTCAAACTCTCTGTGTCTCTCTCTGGTGAGCGCACGCACCTTCTGGCAAAGTTAACACAAAACAAAATAAAACTGGGACTATTAAATCTGGTTCATAGAATAGTCCTGAGAATAATAATAAATCATGAATAAAAATTGCCTGGTGTTCTTATGGCACCAATTCTCTGTGCTACAATTCAATTCAGTTCCGTTCTGACATGCGCTACCCCAAGTTGAAGGGATTGTTCACACACCTTAACGACCACATGTTAAAGGGACAGGTTGCCAACAAGACCACCCCCCCACCCCCCACTTTGAACACCAGACACAAGTGGGGCCTCTAGGCCACTTGTACTTCTGACTGACTTGGCAACCAACACTGGTGTTCCCATGACCTCTCTCCAGGTTCAAGAATTCATTAGAACAACTCACAAAACTCACTGAAAATGCTGTCCTTGCAATAATGGTTTTTTATAAAAGATCCAACTTGGGAAGCCAGGCGGGAGAGACACCCAGGGCAGGGGCTGAGGGAGGGTGGCACCAGAGTACCTGTGCTCTCCTCCTGGGGGTGGGAACTAGTCTCCAGCACACCTGTGTGTTAACCAGCCAGAAAGGAAGCTCCCTCAAGCCTCAGAGTCTAGTCATTTTTTAATTTATTAACTAATGAATGAATTGATTTTAAATTTTAATCAGGGGCTTCATTAAGGAGGCATGACTGGGC